GAATGCAGTGGCACAATCTCGGCTCATTGCAACCTTCGCCTTTCAGTTTCAAGCGATTCTCCTGCCTCAGCCTCCCACCTAGCTGGGATTACAGGCACCTGTTACCACGCCCAGCTACTTTTTGTATTTTTAGTAGAGATGGGGTTTCACCATGTTGGCCAGGCTGGTCTCAAACTCCTGACCTCAGGTGATCCACCCACCTCGGCCTTCCAAAGTGCTGGGATTATAGGCATGATCCACTGCGCCCGGCCTAAAAGTTAAATTTTTAAAAGACAATCTTAAAGGGTTCCATACTTTATGATTCCATTTTTATGACATTCTCGAAATAACAAAATTGTAGAGCTGGAGAACAGATTGGTGGCTGCCATAGGTTAGGCGTGGAGTGGGAAACAACTATAAAGGGTAGTACAGGGAGTCCCTTCGTGCCAATGGAACAATCCTGTATTTTTATTTTGGTGGTTACAAGAGTCTATACATATAAAATTGCATGAAACTACATGCACATGCTCACAGTCGCATACAAATGAGTGCATACAGAAATTGGTGAAATCTCATCCAGGCATGATAGTGAGCCAAGATCATGTCACTTCACTCTAACCTAGGCTGCAACAGAGTGAGACCCTGTCTCAAAAAATAAAAATTAAAACATAAAATAAATTTTTTAATTCAGAAAGATTTGTACAATCTGAATAAGGTCTGTGGATTGTAGCCATGTCAGTTTCCTCGTTCTGCTATTGTACTCCAGTTATAAAAGATAATACTGGCTGGGCTTGGTGGCTCACGCCTGTAATCCTGGCACTTTGGGAGGCCGATGTGGGCGGCTCAACTGAGGTCAGGAGTTCGAGACAAGCCTGACCAACATGGAGAAACCCCATCTCTACTAAAAATACAAACTTAGCCGGGCATGGTGGCGCCTACCTGTAACCTCAGCTACTCAGGAGGCTGAAGCAGGAGAATCACTCGAACCTAGGAGGTGGAGGTTACAGTGAGCTGAGATTGCACCATTGAACTCCAGCCTGGGCAACAAGAGCAAAACTCTGTCTCAAAAAAAAAGAAAAAAAGATATTACTACTACAGTGGGAAGCTAACAAGCATAGGAACTATACTATTTTTGTAACTCTTTATGAATCTAAGATTATTTCCAAGTAAAAAGATTTAAAATTTAGGCCGAGTGCAGTGGCTCAACACTATAATCCCAGCACTTTGGAAGGCCGAGGTGGGTAGATCATTTGAAGTCAGGAATTCGAGACCAGCCTGGCCAACATGGTGAAACCCCAACTCTACCAAAAATACAAAAGTTAGCCAAGTGTGGTGGTGGGCGCTTGTAATCCCAGGTACTCAGCAGGCTGAGGCAGGAGAATCGCTTGAACCCAGGAGGCAGGGGTTGCAGTAAGCCAAGATTGCACCACGGCACTCCAACCTGTGCAACAGAGCATGAGTCCATCTCAAAAAAAAAAAAAAAAAATGCTGAATTCAGGTTGTGGTGTTTTGTATTGGATGAAAATTCAGCTTTACACAGGTAGGTAGATAGAAAAGGGAGGAATATTTTGATTCAGGTAAGTGTGAATACTCTTCTTTGATACTACACCAAATTGGTAGTTTCTTAAAGCTTAGTTGTGGTCAGGCACAGTGGCTAACACATATAATCCCAGCACTTTGGGAGGCCGAGGCAGGCAGATCATGTGAGCCTAGGAGTTCAAGACCAGCCTGGGCAACATGATGAGACTCTGTCTCTACAAAAAAATACAAAAATTAGCCGGGGCACGGTGGTCACACTTGTAATCCTAGCACTTTGGGAGGCCGAGGTAGGTGGATTGCCTGAGCTCAGGAGTTCAAGACCAGCCTGGTTAGCACAGTGAAACCCCATTTCTACTAAAATACAAAAAATTAGCTGGGGATGATGGCATGCACCTGTAATCCCAGCTACTTGGGAGGCTGAGGCAGGAGAATTGCTTGAACCCAGGAGGCAGAGGTTGAAGTGAGCCGAGATCGTGATACTGCACTGCAGCCTGGGTGTCAGAGCAAGACTTCATCTCAAAAAAATAAATAAAATAAAAATTAACTGGACACTGGGACACATACCTATGGTCCCAGTTACTTGGAGGCTGAGGCAGGAGGTTCATTTGAGTCCTGGCAGGAGGTCAAGGCTACAGTGAGTCATGATCATGCCACCACATTTCTAGATGACAGAGCAAGACCCTGTCTCAAAAAAAAAAAAAAAAAAAAAGTTTGAGGGAGTTAGTTGCAAATTGACCTCTGAAACCTTATCAGTACATTTTTTTTTTTTTGAGTCGGAGTTTCACTCTTGTTACCCAGGCTGGAGTGCAATGGCGCGATCTCGGCTCACCACAACCTCCACCTCCCGGCTTCAGGCAATTCTCCTGCCCCAGCCTCCTGAGTCGCTGGGATTACAGGCACGCGCCACCATGCCCAGCTAATTTTTTTGTATTTTTAGTAGAGATGGGGTTTCACCATGTTGACCAGGATGGTCTCGATCTCTTGACCTCGTGATCCACCCGCCTCGGCCTCCCACAAGTGCTGGTATTACAGGCTTGAGCCACCGCGCCCGGCCCAGTACATTTTTTTATACTGGATTATATTAAAACCCATTGGTCTATCTTGGGCTTTGAATGTCTCTCTTACCTATGCCTGATTTTGTAACATCATGCGTGGCTCATTTGGTAAATATTGTTTCACTGAGTTATGCCTGTTGGTTCTATATGTTGAATGTAATTATATGATATCAAAACATTGCAGTTAATACTACCACCAGTCTCATCAGAAAAATCGTTACGTTTTAGGAAGCTGTCAGGCTCATGGTGGTAGTTGTAAATTTTCTAATATTCTAACTTTCTCATAAAAGTTTGAATTTTATCATTAGTAACAAACTGTCAGTATTCTTTGAAGTGACAAGCTTACTTTATTTATTCTGGACAAAGTATCTGTGAGATACCAAGTCTGAATGACCACAGTTTTTCTGTTGCTTGTTCTTTCAAGTACGAAAGAATGGCTACTCAATAAAATTAACTTTCACCGCCTTTTTAAGGACATTCTTAAGTGAAACGGCATTTTTTTTTACTGCAAGTGGGCAGCAGTGAAGAATCTGCTTGTGCAGTTTGTCACTACCTTGATTTGAACTAAAGCACCAGCATTTCCCCTCCTTCCCCATTGCTTTTGTACTGTCAGTGCAAATGTCCACACAGTAAAGAAGGCAAATAATGTCTTATAATGTTATCAAAATAGTTTGAGTTCATGGAATGCCAGAATTCCCAATAACATACTTTGAGAATATCAACACTCCACATCTCAGTAAGGAATTCCTGAGTTCTTATTTTCAAGCAGATAGTTGTGGGAGACCCAGTTTCTGACCCTCTTGTGTCCCCTGCCCTAGGATCGCCTGAAGGACCTGAACAGCCAGGCAGACAGCCTGATGACCAGCAGTGCCTTCGACACCTCCCAAGTAAAGGACAAGAGGGATACTATCAACGGGCGCTTCCAGAAGATCAAGAGCATGGCAGCCTCCCGGCGAGCCAGGCTGAATGAATCCCATCGCCTGCACCAGTTCTTCCGGGACATGGATGACGAGGAATCCTGGATCAAGTATGTGTTCTCAGCCCCCTAGAAGGCCTGTTAGACCTGTAGTAGTGGGCAACAGGAACCACAGGCTGACTGTTGAGTCAGGAAGTTTCTGTCTCCTGGCTGTAAGTGGTAAGGCTGGAAGCCCTGTTGAACTGGGATCCCAGCTTGGCCACACACTCCTGGGATGCCTCAGTGTCTTCTGCTTTCTGGGTTTACAGTGATGATGATTGACGGTGGTAGTGATCCATGCTAGTTACATAGGCCCTGTCTAGACCCTGCCCTTTAGATTCCTGGGAAAGTTAGTCAGTTTGTGTCTGACCTCCTGGAGAAGATCACTTCTCCAAGGAAGGAGTTGCTTTTTTGGTTATTCTCTGTCTGCCCCACAATATGTCAGTCTGCTGATTCCATTTGACGTAGCATGTAAACAAACGTCTTTTTTTTTTTTTTTTTTTGAGACAGTTTCACCTGTTGGTGCCCAGGTTGGAGTGCAATGGGACAATCTCAGCTCACCACAGCCTCTGCCTCCCAGGTGCAAGTCATTCTTCTGCCTCAGCCTTCCAAGTAGCTGGGCTTATAACCATGCACCACCATGCCTGGCTAATTTTGTATTTTTAGTGCAGATGGGGTTTCTCCATATTGGTCAGGCTGGTCTCAAACTCCCAACCTCAGGTGATCAATCTGCCTCAGCCTCCCAAAATGCTGGGATTACAGGCATGAGCCACCATGCCTGGCCACAAATGTCTTTTATTTTTAAAAACGGGGTTTCACCATATTGGTCAGGCTGGTCTTGAATTCCTTACCTCAGGTGATCCGCCCACCTCAGCCTCCTAAAGAGCTGGGATCACAGGCGTGAGCCACCGCGCCTAGCTCACAAATGTCTTAAAAACAAAATCCTCTCTTTTAATTCCTTTCTTAAAACCTTCTGGTCAGGCACAGTGGCTCACGCCCATGATCACACCATCTTGGGAAGCCCAGGCGGGTGGATCACTTGAGGTCAGATGAGATCAGTTCGAGACCAGCTTGGCCAACATGGTAAAACCCCGTCTCTACTGAAAATACAAAAATTAGGGGCCAGGCATGGTGGCTCATGTCTATAATCCCAGCACTTTGGGAGGCCAAGGTGAGCAGATCACCTTTCTAGACCAGCGGCCTGACCATCATGGAGAAACCCCGTCTCTACTAAAAATACAAAATTAGCCAGGCATAGTGGCAGGCACCTGTAATCCCATCTACTCGGGAGGCTGAGGCAGGAGAATCGCTTGAACCCAGGAGGCAGAGGTTGTGGTGTGCCAAGATTGTGCCATTGCACTCCAGCCTGGGCAACAAGAGCAAAACTGTCTCAAAATATATATATATATACAAAAATTAGCCAGGCATGGTGGCATGCACCTGTAGTCCCACCTACTCAAGGAGGCTGAGGCAGGAGAGTGCCTTGAACCCAGGAGGCAGAGGTTGCAGTGAGTCGAGATTGCCTCACTGCACTCCAGGCTGGGCAATAAAGCAATACTCCATCTCAAAATTAAGAAAAAAACCTTTTAAAAAAAAACTCATTTATATAGGCCAGGCACAGTGGCTCAAACCTGTAATCCCAGCACCTTGGGAGGCCAGGGCAGGTGGATCACCTGAGGTCAGGAGTTAGAGACCAGCCTAACCAACATCGAGAAACCCCGTCTCTACTAAAAATGCAAAATATTACCCGGGCATGATGTTGCATGCCTGAAATCCCAGCTTCTCAGAAGGCTGGGGCAGGAGTATCACCTGAATCCAGGAGGCAGAGGTTGCAGTGAGCCGAGATCATGCCATTGCACTCCAGGCTAGGCAACAAGAGTGAAACTCTGTTTTGTGGGGGAAAACAATTACTTATATAGGCCGGGCACTGTGGCTCTCACCTGTAATCCCAGCACTTTGGGAGGCCGAATTGGGTGGATCACTTGAGGTCAGGAGTTCAAGACCAGCCTGGCCAACATGGTAAAACCCTATCTCTACTAAAAATACAAAAATTAACCAGGCATGGTGGTGGGTGCCTGTAGTTCAAGCTACAGGAGGCTGAGGCAGGAGAATCACTTGAACCCAGGAGGCGGAGGTTGCAATGAGCCAAGATCATGCCACTGCACTCCAGAATGAGACTCTGTCTCCAAAAAAAAAAAAAGTAAACAAAAATACAAAAATTAGCCGGGCATGGTGGTGCATGCCTGTAATCCCAGCTACTCGGGAGTCTGAGGCAGGAAAATGGCTTGAACTCAGGAAGTAGAGGTTTCTGTGAGCTGAGATTGTCCCACTGCACTCCATCCTGGGTGACAGAGCAAGACTTTATCTCAAAATATATATATATTACTTATATAGCTGACGTGTTGGCCCACGCCTATAATCCCAACTCCTTTGAGAGGCCAAGGTGGGCGAATTGCTTGAGTCCAAGAGTTTGCAACCAGCCTGGGCAAGATGGTGAAAACTTGTCTCTACCAGAAATAGAAAAAATTAGCCACGTATGGTGGCGCACACCTGTGGTCCCTACTACTTGGGAGGCTCAGGTGGGAAGATCACTCAAGCTGGGGAGGCAGAGATTGCAGAAAGCAGAGGTCACGCCAGTGCACTTTAGCCTGAGCAATAGAATGAGACTCTTTCTCAAAAAAAAGTGTATGTATGTATATATGTAAATATCTTCATATATTTACTGGTATATATTGATACATATTTAGTATGCATGATTGATAGTTACTGATATAATTATCTAGGGCTCCTAAGGGCAGCACTAGTGATGCCTCCCGTCCTCCAGTGCATCCCCAACCCTCTAGAATCTGGACACACAGCAGGGCTCATGCATGCGTACATAGACAGAAGTTCTTGGTCACTACTCATTTGGGAAGTAGAGGCTTTTGTTTTCCAGAAAATTGGCAAGGATTTTCCCAGAAATATTAGTAGATGTCGCAAGGTCCACAGTTGACCTGATGTCCCCACTTGACAGCAAGGGCAGAGATCAACTGTGCTGTTACCTGTCTCTTGTCCAGGGAGAAGAAGCTGCTGGTGAGCTCGGAGGACTATGGCCGGGACCTAACTGGCGTACAGAACCTGAGGAAGAAGCATAAGCGGCTGGAGGCAGAATTGGCTGCGCATGAGCCAGCTATTCAGGTAGGGAGGCCGCCTTCTGGCCGAGAGGGCAGTGGGGTTTGAGTGGGCCCCAGGACACAGACAAACACCTAGTGCTTATTTCACTGAGATCCCTTTAGTTCTACAGTGTTCATGACTCCTCAGTCCAAACCTGGGGAAGTCCCAGACTTGATGTTGAGGCCTTTTCCTGGGAGCCTCGAGACAGAGGCCCCAGCAGGGCTGCTTGCTGTTAACCTAATCAATCATCCTTGCCTGTCAGGGTGTCCTAGACACTGGCAAGAAGCTGTCTGATGATAACACCATCGGGAAAGAGGAGATCCAGCAGCGGCTGGCACAGTTTGTGGAGCACTGGAGAGAGCTGAAGCAGCTGGCAGCTGCCCGGTGAGTAGTCAGAGGCAGGAGCTCTCAGGAACAAGTGGAAGGCCAGCACCCAAGGGCGGACTCTGAGCTGTGCAGGGCCACTGGGCCCTCCTGCCATCTCTTGGACCTTAGGCCTCACATGTGCCACAATCAGTTTACTCCAGAGCCACCTCCCACAGGCCATGCTGAGGTGGTCTCATTCTGTTAATCTGGACCCACTGTATGAGTCCAGAATCACGCATGTTTCTGTGTGAGTCCAGAATCACACATGATTCTCCAGGAATCAAGATATGAGAGTCTGCAGTCACACACTGGGTGATTCAGGGTATTCCACAGAAGGCCTGACTGTGAGGGCCCACCTTTTTCATGAATGTTTTTAAGCTTATGTTAACTATCAAAACCAAAGCTGGAGGAGATTATGGCTGATCCTGTCACCTGTAATTAGGGGTCAGCGGCTAGAAGAGTCCTTGGAATATCAGCAGTTTGTAGCCAATGTGGAAGAGGAGGAAGCCTGGATCAATGAGAAAATGACGCTGGTGGCTAGTGAAGATTATGGAGACACTCTTGCCGCCATCCAGGTGAGACAGAAACCAAAGGTGCCACCTGCTTTCTCTCTTGGCAACTGCCTACTGGTCACTGTTGGTTTGTTAAAGCGCCCTGCTCTTACTAGGAGAGCACACAGGACCAGTAGCCAATGCCTCAGTAGTTGGTTTTAGCCCTGAAGATTTCACACTAGGGGACATTTCCCCTCAGTAGACAAAATTGGCATGGCTTTGGCAGTTTCAGTTTATGGGCCTTGTTGTTTGCCAGAAGCGCTGTGAGTTTGGGTCTTTGTATTGGTTTCCTGGGGCGGCCATAAATAAGTACCACAAACTGAATGGCTTAAGACAACAGAGGTTTATTTTCTCTCAGCTCTGGAGGCTAGAAGTCTGAAATCAAGATGCAGGCAGGACCATGCTCCCTCCAGACCTATAGGGGAGGAGCCTTCCTTGCCTCTTTCAGTTTTTGTTGGCACCAGGCACCCTTGGCATGTGGCGGCATCACTCCAGTCTCTGCCTGTCTTCATGTGACCATCTTCCCTCTGTGTCTGTCTTCACTTGGCATCACTCTGTGTTTATTCAAATTTCTGTGTTCTGTTATAAGGACATCAGTTGTATTGGATTAGGGCCCACCCTAATTACCTCATCTTACCTTTGCAGAGTACCTTTGCAAAGACCCTCTTTCCACATTCATGGGTACCAGAAGCTAGGCCTTCACTTTCTCTTGAGGGGGATACATTTCAGCCTATCACATACCCCTAAATTGGTTAACTATTGCTACATAATAACCTGCCTAAATTTAGTGGTTGAAAGCACCCATTTCTTTTTTTGCATGGTTGTGTGGATCAGGGGCATCTGCAGCTGTCACTGGAGGTCCCTCATGCTCCTGCATTCGGGTACAGCGCAGGTGGGCTGAGAGATCAGTCACACACTGGCAACTGAGCCTGTTGTCACCCAGTCCGGACGTTTCTGTTCCCCTCCACGTGGCCTATTGTCCTCCCACTGGCTAGACCAGCCTCCTTCAGCAGCATTCAGACAGGCAATGGCAGGAGCTGCAATCTATGGCCTCACACATCGTCCTCACTGCCTGTCTGCTGGTGAAAGCAAGTCCGAGTGCAGCCCAGAGGCATAGATGGATAGACTCCCCCTCTGGAAAGGAGATGCTGCAAAATATCATGGTCAGATATGTCTAAATTCCTGCCCAGAGATGTGGAAGCAGGAGTGTGCACTCCCAGGAATTGAGTTACGTCTGAGCCACCTTCCTCACTATGGGAAGCACCCTCTGCTGGTCAGGGTGATTCAGGTAGAATTTAGATGGTCAGTCATTTCCCGTCCTCTGCATAGTTGAGTTCCCTGGAAACAACCAAAAGGGTGTTGTGTGCAGTGCTTAAATTGTACTAAGAAAAAGACTTGGGGCCGGGCACCGTGGCTCACGCCTGTAATCCCAGCACTTTGGGAGGCCAAGGTGGGTGGATCACCTGAGGTCAGAAGTTCAAGACCAGCCTGGCCAACATGGTGAAACCCTGTCTGTACTAAAAATATACAAAAATTAGCCGGGCATGATGGCACACACCTGTAATCCCAGCTACTCTGGAGGCTGAGGCACGAGAATCGCTTGAGCCTGGGAGGTGGAGGTTGTAGTGAGCTGAGATTTCACTGCTGCACTCCAACCTGGGCAACAGAGCAGGACTCTGTCTCCAAAAAAAAAAAAAAAATGAGATGACTTGGAAGGCCTTTTCTGAGATGTGTTCAAAATAAACCTTAAAAATGTGTCATTTTCATTTGGGTGTGTATACTCAGCTTGCTTTGTTTTGTTCTTGTGGTCCGCTGGAGGGAGAGACCTTAAGACACTGTTGATGATGGTGAAACCCCGTCTCTACTAAAAATACAAAAAATTAGCTGGGCATGGTGGCGCGTGCCTGTAATCCCAGCTACTCAGGAGGTTGAGGCAGGAGAATTGCCTGAACCCA